AAATACTATCAATCTTTACCAAATACTGGATTGCACATAATTTGATAAGTTCTAGATTTTGAAAGCAATCTTACGAGGAAATTAAAATAGGAAGTGCCAGTTGCAGACATCTATAAGGAAACAACAGTTTGAGAAATAATTTATAAAATATATATATTTATATATTACTATGGGTTAACTGGGGATGAAAGAGCTTGCATCTGAAACCAGAAAAAGCTTCATAACCTTGTAAGAGCAGTTAGAGGGAAAAATTCCTATAATGGTCACCAAGTTTGTCTGTCCCTAAAAAGCCTTAATTTCTTTATGATTAAAACTGAGCCAGCTGAGTATCAGGCAAGTGTCTTTTAGGGAAAATATTTTTTTTATTCTGAAAGGACTTAAAAGAACAAATAATTAAAGAAAAGAGACAAAAATGGAAGAATTTTTTTTAAATTAAGGAAATTACCCTGGAAAGAAAAAAAAACAATATTCAAAAGAAATTACAAGGCTTTCTGGAATACACAGATGTTATATAGAAACTGTTTACCTAACTTTCATTTTTACCTTTATCTGATCAAAAGCATGGTTGATTCTAGCTTTATTGATCAAGTTTTTCTGGATAGCCTAATTTTATGGTGACCTCATTTGTAGCCAAGCTTTAAAAGACTCATGTCACTCAATTTGATTTGAAGTATACTGCAGTTACCAACCCACTGTTTAAATAACATTTCATTTTATCTAGAATTTTTATTTTACAAATACAATTTTGAAGACATTATTTTAATTTTCACTTCAATAAATTAGGAAAAATTCTAGGATCAATTGGTTAATAATCCTGGACTTTTTCCCATTGTATTAAGTTTACCTGAATGAGATCTGAATTCCTCACTAACAGTCCTGTAACCAAAATCAGGTTTATAAATATACAACAACTACAAGCTCAACATATGTATGAATTCCACTATGTAGATCAAGATATCAAGATCTTTTTTTCTTTATAGTGGTTAAATTACAGCCATATTATCTAAGCTACCCACCAAAGGCTGTCCCTAAGCAAACAGAAGACCTGCAGAGGAAAGAAGAGTAAGTCATTCTGACTTTCACTAGTGAGGGGACCCCAGCTTCCTCTCTGACTGTTGAAAACCTTCCTAGTATCTCATGGTGGTTTCATTCTCTTCTACAGAAATAAAGGAAACCAAGGAATAAGACTCAGCTGGAAAAAACCAAAAGCAAAATACACACCACCTCAAAGTTTCACAAAATCCATTATGATATTAACAGCTAAACCCACAGTTTTATTTTGTGGCAATGGCAGATACTGCAGCCTAGCCTGCCCATCTGGGTCATATACAGCAGAGATGATTTGCTCAGACATTTCAGCTATTTGCACCCCTCCTAGTAACAGGAGATGAGAACAAACCTTCACTGACAACCCTCTTGTACCAGACACATTTGAAAATCTCCTTGTGTTAGCTTTGGGCTGCTCTTAACCAGGGTACAGAATCATTTCCAGAATATGTGCACACACTGCATGTGCATATTTCCAGGCCATGGTAATTCCTCTCCATGGGCTCTTGAGTGCCCTTCATCCACTTGCTCTCCCTCGACTATTTTCAATGACTTTGCTTCTTCTCTGTCTTTTTCTGGCTTTTCCAGTATCTCCTGGGATTTTTTTATTTTTTTGTCTGATTTCTTCTTTGTTTATGCACTACCAATCTCAAGGGATTTTAGTAGCAGTGACTAATATAAGCTTGAAACTTTAGCAAATACCACCTGCTGCTGAATTATAAAAAGCAAAGGTGTATAGAACAGCAAAAATTCTCTGGTAAAGTTGTAAGCAAATACACAGTCTATGAAGTTCAATTCCTTTCCATTGAAAGAAAAATGGAAAGGCTTAAAGATGCTGGGCAACATGAGATCTGCATCATACACGTGATAGGACTGCATTTGATTGTCTAAATGAACAGTTAAAATACATATTTACAGAAGTATTCATGCAACACATCAACATGCAAACTGCATTAGTGCCTTTATTTTGTTTCTGAAAGAAATTTATCTCAATTTTTGACTTTTGTCTTTCTAAATGCTGTATGCCTTACTAAGAAGAAGCCAAGGGACAAATCTGCTGCTCCTCCCAAATAGACATTGAGCTTATATTTCCACATGAAAAAAATCAATATCTGTTTTTAAAAGTTATTTGTGAATGCACCCTGTACAAGATGTTCAAGGCCATCCTACTTTTCCTCACCCTTAACCCAACCATCTGCTCTCTAATGCTTCCAAATATTGAAAACGCTCCTTTAGCAACTATAATTTCTAGCTTCAGTCATGTTTTTCCTTTCCTAGTTTTCCTGGCCAGGGAAGCTTAGAAATTCTTAGGAATAGGATCTCTATTAGACCGGAGTTAAGCATCTCTACCAATCTTTGCTAGATCAGGGGAAAAAGCTGCAACACCAAAAACTGTAACCCAAACCCAGAAATGGAGATCTCTGGTGTTAAAGGATGAAGTCAGAGGACCACAGAGCAGTAGGATCTCCAGACTCTGACAGCCCAGTTTCCTCCAGCATCTTATCTCTTGTGTTAAACTTCATCACAATGACAGAATTTGCAAAGTAACTTTATTTTCCACACTGTGATAATTTCATGATGCTCTTATTCTTTGACTCTTACAATTATTAATTTGTCTTTACTAACAATAGTGGCAAAAGAAGCAGTTTATTATTCAGGGAGAGTGAATATGATTGTAGCCTAAATCTTCATTTTTTTCTTTTCAATGGACGTGACAGGGAGAATAAAATGTCCATTTAGATGCACAAATACATATAAAGATGCACTTCTCTCTCTGGAGACAGCAGTGATACAACAGTATTAATTTGGTCTCCAAAATACTATGTGTCACAAAAATGTCTGCTTGTATCATCTAGGTCTTTGATTCATGGCTCAAGAAATGCACATATATAATCATTGCTCCAGAGTCCTAGATTTTCCTAAAATCCACTCGAGTTGTTTGAGGAAAAAGCTAAACAATAATAAATGAACTCAGATGTTTATTCCCTCTCTGTAAAGAGCTTTTCAGCATTTTAAAATCAGAAATTACATTCATGAAAAAGATGTATTTAAGACAAGACCATGCACTGCTCTTAAGACCAAAGAGTTTACTGCTCTCTAGAGTAAGGTTTCTTTTATTAGTATTTCTTCCACTCTTTAATTGAATTAAACAACAACAAGAAAAAGCAACCAAAATTATGAAGACCACCAGCGCAGTGAAGAAAAGAAAATGTCTCCCAGGGTTTTCAGTTCTCTTCCCTCAGTGTTCTGGAGTCCAGATGTGAAAAGCCTAGTGGAGCTGAAAACATTTTTGGTGGGTGGAGAGAAAGTTTTGATGCTACTGCTGTAGCCTTATTTTATCCAAACCAGACAATTATCTTTCTTCATGAAGATTAAAAAGCCAAACAACACCACCCAACAAACCACACCTTTTATATATTGCTATTAAACAGTATTTATAAGTAAGCCTTCTTGAAAAAAACCAAAACACTCTGCATCTTAGCACTTAGAAGCAAAGAAGGCCTAACTCAGAATATTTACTGTCTTCATCTTCTTTAAAATCCTCTTTGTCAGGTGTGTCAGTTTATTTTTAAGAGATGTAATTTTCCTGCTCACATATCAAGCAAACACATATTGATTTGCTGCAGCCATACCAGGTCACAGGATATGGAGGAATGTTCCCATATCTTATGCAGCTACACCTGGAATATGGTGTTCAGCTAAGTGATGACAAGGGTGGTCAGTGAGGTGATGATAAAAGTCTATAAATAGCTTAAGAGGGTGAACTCTGAGGAGGGAGAAGCATTGGTTTAAGGTGGACTGAAAAAGCTTGACTGGAACAACCAAAGTGATGCCCTGACAGCCTGGGCCAGGCATAAGCTGCTAAATAGGATCCTGTACACACTACAAACAGAGCAGTCTGGCCTTGGTCTTGCGTACACCACAGACATATAACGAATTTACTATTCCAGATTAATTATTCTGGGAAATTTCCAAGCATATTTAAGCACTTCAACTGTTGAACTGGGCCCCAAGTTCAACAGTCCACCAACAGGAGTCACACGCTGGGTGTATTTAGAACTATACGCGACATAGCACTGGAAACGCATAAGAGGAGATAAATCTGCCTAGAGAGGAGGATGGACACAAACCCTGAAAATCTGCCATACCTCTGTTTTCTGTAGTTCTAGGAAAACCTGCATGTGGGATTTGGGAAAGGTCTTTTTAATAAGGGTTAATTGGAGAAGTATGTCACACATGACTGAATACCGTTTCAAATTACTGCTCACGCTGGCATAACTAAATCAGACAAATGACAGAATACCAAAATAGGGAATAGTCAATCTTCTTCCCTCCTACTTAATCTTAATATCTTCATTATTCTCAGAGATCAGCAATTACAGATTTTCTGGAATTTGTTGCTTCTCTCAAAATATTACTAAGACCATATAATAATATTCCCCAGAGATCCAGTAATTCTGTAAAATTTTTATTCTGTTGTCAAATTATTAGTCTAGGCTTTCAAACTGCTGGATTCATTTATCTGGCTTTATGTGATACAAAAGTTCAGGATAAATGATCCTGATATAGCCCTTTCTGAGCTTAAAAAAAAAAATCTGAAAAAGGGAAAAATAACAAGTTTGGTAAGACAGATTAGTTACTCACATGAAAATCATTGTACTGTCTGTAACACTGTGTTACTCTGAAAGTCAGGTCCCTAACCCCGAACCTGAAAAAGTCACTTCAGTTTCTCTCTGCTGGCCAAGTTAACTGCAAGCATTTCCTGACGCTGAGAATGCAGGCAGAAAAAGGAAAAACGTGGACTTGAGAAAAGCACAGCTTCCAATCCCCACCCACCAGCTTCAGTCAAAGGGATGACTTCAGTCCCTTTCTTAACTAATCCTGTCACTGTAAAATCCTACAGTCATTCTTCCAACATAAAGGGAAAACGGACTCACTAGGAGGACCTAGACTCTTTCAGCTTGAACTGTTAACCAATGGTGGAAATGCAAGAATGCTGAAGTTGTGCCTTCAGAGCCAATAGAGTGGATTTGTGTGTCCCACATGACTGTGTTTCCCCTGTCTTTCACATGGGCAGTATTTAGTTCAATTCAGAACTGCAGATAGTATAGCGTGCAGAGCAGCAATGGGATGTCTGAGCACAAGTGGCTGACTTCCAGGCGACTTCAGGAAGCACATTTATACATTTCTCCTGAATTAAACTGGGATTCTGCACCCTTGACATTCTCCAGCCCTCCTTGTCGATGCAGAAGGAGACAACGACCTGCACAGCACAACAAAACTGTGAGTATGGGCTCTATTTATTTTTATTTTCACACGGAAAACAAACCTCTTAAAAATGTCAAAATGCTACGTGCCCAGATCTATGATTACTTTTCTTATAAGATAAACAAGTATCTAAAGTGTTATTTAAATTCAGAAATATTTCTTGCATGCTTCAATAAAAGAAAGAGGAAGAAAAAAAAAAAAAAAAGCAAAAGCGAGTTATCCTCCAGGGCAGCGCCTGCATGCATGCAGCATGACACACTGCTTCCTGACATAGCCAGCGTGCTGCTTTGTTCATAAAGAAAAACAAAGACAAAAAGCCCTACACACGTATGTTGTTCACTTTTATTTGTACTCTGTGTCTAATCAGGCCTGATCTGTCCCCAAGGGGAAAACATAAAGGCAAACTTTAACTCCGCCAGCAAGGGCAGCCCAGACTTTGCAGACATCTGACAGTTATTATAATTAGCTATGAAAGACAGCGAAGACACTTTGGGGCAAATAGCTCTTACATTTGGAACAATGAAGTCGAGCAAGGTTCCCATCCCACCCCTTCCACGGGGGGAGGGGGAGAGGCAGGGCAGCGGGGGGAGTGTTAGGAAAGGCTTATGGCTGGACTGAAAACACACAACTAGTGTAATATCTGCTCAGCATGAGGAGAGGCTTTTTGATAAGCAACTTTACCTCTTGATTGCAGCTTGCATTCACTCAGATTCCTGGTGGGGTGGGAAAGGGTGTGGGGCTCTCCACGGTAGAACGTCAGAAGGTCGGGTGGAGGGGGCAGCGGGGACGAAGGGGCCAGAAAGAAGAGAATATCCATAGCAGGAGACATTGAAATTGTTTCCCAGAGCTTTACTGGCCAGATCTCCTTAAGCCCAAGTTGCTTTCTGGGCAAGATTTATGAGAGTTCTCAAACAGAAGCAACAGACAAAGCAGCGCTTTTTTTTTTTTTTTTCAATTTCCTTGAAAAAGAAATTGAACCCAAATGAATAACCGTATAATAAACAGCACTGATTTGTATTTTTGCTCCTTCCCTCACCCCCCCCACCCCCCACCACTTGCTCATAAGACCTTTAATAAGGTCTTTCCCTCCTGCCTGCATGATCCTTCCCACCCCCCTTCCCTACCAAAAGTTAGATTCTGAAAACTACGATCAGAAGGGGAAAAGCAAAGACAATAGAAATCTGATTCGGTCCTGGCTGGGCTGGATCTCTAATAATGCATGAAGTGAAAACAGTTTCTAAGTGAAAGATGAGCGGACTTCTTTACCAAAAAAAAATAAAAAATAAAAAAAATACGTGCAATAAGGAGAAATTGTTGAAAGACTCCAGACGCTACTAATTATGGCTTAAATAAATCTTCTGGACAGATGTTTGCTTGCTCCCACTGCAGGGAGAGGAACGTTAAAAGAAGCATTTTTTAAAAAAGGATTTGACGTGAATCTCCTACATATGATTTTTTTTTTTCTTTGTAAATACACTGTTTTATTCTTTGTCTGCCCTCCTGTTATCTCCCCCTCCCCCACCCGCCGCCCACTGTGAGCTGAGACACCTGAAGGCTAGACACAATGATCAACAGAGCACTGCGCTCGCCTGTCTGGATTCCAGCCAGATTTTTTTTCCCTTCCACAATCAAGGAGCCTGCACGCAATGCACGGCAAGCCCCTTGCTCTGCTATGTGCAGATCAGACAGAAGTCTGAACTGTGCTGCAGAGAAGATTAAAGACAAACACAAGCCTTTCCTCCTTATGTCGGCCAGGCTCAGTTTCAACTTGTTATGATTTGCAAAAAAAATACCAAATAAGAAACTTTGTAAACATATATACACATTATTGTACAAAACATATGCACACGCACACACTTTCCAGCACAGTGTAACTAGGGACATCCAGTGTTTCCCGTTTTTACTGTGATTTCTACTCTAGCTTTACAGTCAATGCAGTATTTTATGTTAAGTTCATGCATCACTTACATAATTGCTGTGTAGCTCTCAAATATGTGTAAAGGTTTTGTATGCGCATTTGATCTATTACATAAAGGCAAGAAACTACTGTACAGCTACCCATTCCTGAATGCCCATAGAGCTGAAATCTTACAAGATATTTGTGTTTAGAGGGATTAGCAAGAGCTCCTAGACAGTTTTATGATAGTTTCAAACGAGGCAGTAGCGAAATGCTTTGTGAATAGCTTGTCTTCAAACCGAAGGGGCGCATGGAGGGGACTGGGCTGGCCCTGCGAGCCACAGCCCAGAGAAATGCCAAGTGGCCCAGTGTCACCGTGCCACCAAGTTGGGCTTGGGAATGCAGTACACCCAAAAATAGTTGCTCTCCGTTTGGTGTGGCTATGGGTGGGGTTAGCAGAAAGGCAGATTCAAAGCCTGTATTCTATTTAATTTTTAAACGTATGCTGTGCTGACCAACCTATTTTCTAAATTCTTTGGAATTTCATTGTCTTGTGGTACAAATTATGGTGTGATAAACATGATGACTAATATTTGCTTTTCAATGTGAAGTTTGTATGAGAAAGACCTAAAAGAAAATACATTTTAAAACATACAGCCACGTGCACACATGTACAATGCTTTTAATTTACTCCCTGAAAATGTTTAAACTATATTTTAATTACTCTAACAGGTATCCTAATGGAAAGATAAGAATTTTTTCAGCTTTTTTTCTCCAATATTGATAATAAAGACTATGAGAAAAGGAACCCAGCATAAGTATCCCATATTTAATCTTAAAAAAACAACTTCCTTTCCAAATAGCAATGGAGACATGCAAACAAAAGATTGCACGTAGTGGCAGCAATATCCACAGCAAAGTAAAAATTCCTGAATAGAGATTTCAGAAAAATTAAGTGAATTAATCAAGAGCTGTGGTCAAATTTGTATTCCTGCATTTTATATTTTTTTTTGTAAATATGGAATTGAATGCATTTCTAAAGGAACAATTTACACACTTTATATGAAATACACAAGCAAACTCTACACAATGAGGAGTATATATTTGTAAATTATATGTATGTACACATGTTCAGTAGTATTAAAGTGATAATTTCCTTTCTACTTATCCTTGCATATTATTTTTAAAACAAAATTTGTCACTTCTTTCAAAAAATGTGTTTCGAAATAATGCCTGCAGCTAAATTATGAAGTGCTCCCTTTCATTTTCTTAAGGTAATGACAAGGCAGTCATATTTTTATCCTTTCCTAAAGGCTGAAATCCTACACAAATCAATTCCTTTAAACTTCAGAAGTGATTTACACACTACCTTGCCTTAGAAGAGTATTTCAACTGGCAATTCATGCAGTGTTTGTTAGTGTAAAAGTAATATCTAATCACATAAGAAATAAGCATTAAGCCGGAGTATATGAATACAGGGCCCTTGCCTCCATGTTTAGTTCAACATTCTCCCCTTCTTCAAGTAAGGTCTCTTGCGTTTTGTGAGTGCTGGGTACAACAGCTCTCACTAGAGTAGGCAGGACCTGAGCAGTGTTGCTTTAAAGATGGCATTATCCTCTCCTGCTGTTGTTGTCCACGCACCTGAGATTTAGAGCTGTGTGGTTTAGTTTTTTACAAGAAGAATTTATTTACCTGGTGTGAAAATTGCTCACCTCTGTTTTTTTTACTGACTTCTTTAAACTTTTTAATAGTTGATGCTGAAATAATGCAATCATGGAAGCTCATGCATATTTATGACTCCATTCCTTAAAATTTTGATATCTATTACAGCTTGTCTCTTAGCCTGTGGCCTACATTTGGTTGTGCAAATTCCATGGTGCTACTCACACAGACTTCAAGTTCCAATTTCCTTTTTTAAACTCTCCTCTCCCCTCTTCCCCCATGCTTCCTGTTGCATTGGCTTGTTTGAGCCTTTCCTAGTTCAAACAGAAGTGTGACTTTTAGTCCTAGGAATAAAGTGCTCAGAATTATCTCCAAAACTTTAAAAAGATTGGTAGTTTCACTTATACCTCTACAGAGCTGAAGTAACTTGAGAACCTACCAGAAACATAGACAGTCTCAATAAGGTAACAGGGTCAAATGAGCTCATACTTTACAGATAGGAAGAGAACTGCACATAGCAATTTTACAGATAAAAAGCATGCAGTGTTTTAAGGTAAACATATTTCTGTTTGATATTTTAGCAAACTATTGCAAAGCTCAAACTAGAGCAGAGTCAAAACTACTTTCAGCATGGTACAGTGTAGACCAGATGGCCACGTGTTCTTTTCTTATTTAGATGAGACTTTTCCTTTCAATAACATCTTTCTTCCTGACCTGCTTAAAAATTCCAGCGAATGAAATCAGCACAGGATTTTCAATTCTAATTGACCATGTGCAGAGGAAAGGCCAGTAGAGAAATCAGTAGGACCATTGTAAGGCACACTGCATCAATCTCTCCTTTGTCCTGAATCTTTTCTAGTATGAGCTAAAATAATTAAGAATATTTAATTTGTATTATTTGTACAGCAGCAAATCTAGCAGCATTCAGGCAGAACTCATAGTGAGTTCCTCTTTTAGAAGTCCATGTAACAAGGAAGATGTATGTCTGACACCAGAAAAGCAGGTACTTGACATCATTTTATGGCCAAATATTAAAAAAATACAGAACAAAACAAAACCCCATAAAACTGGAAACAAACCTCCCAAAAGAAACTGAAGGAAAGAATGACCAAAAAGGACTGAAAGATGTGGCTGAATTAAAACATGAACTGCTTTACCTTTTCTAATGAAGGCAGATTTGAAGGATATGGTACTTAAATAAATTTTTGAAAAGCACCTTTTAGAAGAGTCTGAAAAATATAATTTTCCACTGTCCAAAATATTGACCCTTAAATATCTGTAATCTTCAAATGCTTCAAATTTGCCTACATAGATTTCACCCACGCATCCCACCCACACTGCGTTGGTTGTGATCAGCCTCGATTGTGTCTGTGTGATCTACATGCAAGGTACAGACTGTGTGTATCACACACAAACATTACCTACAGAAATACACACCCAGAGGACATCACTACAG